TTTCAGCGAGTTAGGGGAATGAGCAGACCCATAACTCTATGGGCTACTGCCCTCCCCCTGCACAAGGGAGGGCAGGGCTGGATGATTCCTGAGCCCCCTGCCTGCTTGAATGCTACAGGATTGTTGTTCTTAACTTGTTTCATTCTGACCTCTTAACAAAATTAATACACAGTCATTATACAACTCTTAGATAATATAGAGATATGTTGATATCTATTAATCCAGTGGCTTTAATTTTGTCATCTTTGTTAACGTGAAATCAGATGACAGTGGAAGTGCTCTGATTAAAGGGGAATCTGGAACCCTGTCCTCTTAGTTACCCCAGCTGCCCCAGGCCCTGAGGGACCCTGGGGATTCCTAGGGGGCCTGGCAGAGCATAATTTGAAACTTGCTGCCTTAAACCAAATGAAGTGACTCTAATGGTGGAATTATAGGCACTGTAACAAGCAAGAGGGTGGGAGGGGTGCTGCCTACATTTGGGGGCAGGCAGATCTCCAAGCAGCATGGGTCTCCCTCTCACCCCCTGAAGCCATCATCACTGTACCCCCAGTGGAAGGCCGGGGAAGCGGGGGAGGGGAGGAGCGGTAATGAGCCAGTGGTCTGACTCCTGCACAAAGCCACCTAGAGGAAAGACAAGGGACAACTCCAGCTCCTGACCGTGATGGGAACTTTGGGGGACTTTTGACCAAAGGAAAGCAGCTGATTATAAGTCAATAGTTTGCATGCATGGTAATTGCGAAGTTTGTCTGTGCATCTGGGAAAACCTGGAGACTGGAGGTGGGTGGAAGTGTTGGGCCGGAGACCAGCTGAGCTAAGCCCCGAGGCGCCCATCCTTGCGAACACTTTCTGTGCCATCTGCTTATCAGTTTGTCCTTACCCTCTGACTTCATTAGATTGGTATCTCTCTAAGCAGTGCTGGCAGCCACGGGCCCCTTAGGTAATAGAAGAAGCAGATATTAAAGGATTACTACTGACCTAGTTAGAGACTTGGTTCTTGCCTGGCATGACCTTCTCGTAGAAGTGACATGAATAGGGGGCAGCCTGTGGATAGAAAATAACATTCAATTCTCACTGCCTGCAACCCTGTGAATGAAATGGTTTCTCTCACTCTCTTCCCTCTGAGGCCACTCAAGGTCAAAAGCAAGCTGGCATCTGTTGCCAGTGGCTGACAATAATGCCTTAACTTATTCTAGAATCAGAAAGTGACAGGCGGTCAAGCTGTCCAGTCCAATTTCCATTCTGTTCTTTACTGGATTCCTGCCAGGTGGCTTTATGTCCTCCCAGTGATGGGAGGCTCATTACTCTAAGAAATCACCACTTCCGCTGTGGGGGGCTCTGACTGTTGTACCATTTTCCTCTTCATTTTTACTGAGCTGAAGTCTGTCTCCCTTAAGGCCACACAAGGCAAGTCAGTCGGCCTCCTGTCCTCTGAGGTAGTCCTGCATATGAGTGGAAAGGTGCTGACCACAACCCCCTTGAGTCTGTCCTTAGTCTCAGTGCATCTGTGTCCTTTGAAGTGTGATGTGTAGAAATGAACCCCTGAACCCTTACACTGCTGAGCTCAACAGTTGCATCTGTAACCTCATTGATCCTGTGACATCCTGTATGGGTGGTTGTGATATATCGAGGCTCCATGAGGAGGTGTGCCTGGACCAAAGTCATGTAGCAAGAGGGAGGCAAAGCCAGTCTCCAACTCCTGCATCCTAGGCTGGTGGCATCTTCCCCTCTGCTGCCTCCATGGCAGACCACCCTAAATGTGTTCTGCGGGTTTAAATTTCATAGTCAGCCTTAAGTGCTGGGAAAACAGGAATGGGCAAGACTACTTTCAACTAGGAAAATCAGACAGGGCTTCCTAGAAGAGGTGGCAGCTGAGCTGAGCAGAGGTTGCCAGAGAGGAAGCTGGCCCAGGTGCAGAGGAGGGCAGGCCTGGCGGGCAGAAGACAGACTGACTGGGCCTGCCCTGTCACAGTAGAGTACTTCTCCCTCAACACAGCTGAAACCTGAGCAAAAACAGCCCCTCCAGTCATCCAAGACTTCAGGTAGTCTTTGTGCCAGTATGGCGGTGTGGGCCATGCCTGGCATGCTGCAGACCCTCTGTTCTGTGCAGTAGCTTCACAGAGGCTGCTCTCATGCTCCTGGCACCCTCCTAACACTCACATTCTTGGAAGCTTGTGGGTTTCTAAGTGGGGGCCTCTCAACAGAACCCTCTGCTGACCCCGTCACAAAAGGCCTGGGTAAGCAGAGTGGCTAAGAACACCACACCCCCCAGACTTCCCGGACACAGACAGAAGGACGAGTGTTCCCTCAGGGCTGGGATTTTGTTTTCTGTTTCTGTTTCCTCCTCAGAGGAAATTCCACTGCAAATTTTATTTTTAGCAATTTGAAGCTTGAGGCCACTAACGGGGGCTGCTTGTGGCACCAGATGTACACCAGGCTTGGCCCAGGGCAGATGCCCCGGTCCCAAGGGCAGTGCTTAATCCACTGGAATACTACTGCTAATACTAATAATAATAATAATGGCTGACATTTATTCTGTATTATGTTAGGCAGAATGATGTCCACATGTTAATTCCTATGAATACATTGCCTTACTTGGGCTGCTATAACAAAGTGCCACAGACTAGGGGCCTTGAACAACAGAAATTTATTTTCTCATAGGTCTGGAGACAAGTTCAAGAAAGGCTCGGTCTCTCCTGAGGCCCCTCTCCTTGGCTTGTAGATGCTGATGCCATATTTTCCCCATATCTTCACATTGCCTTCCCTTCACATCTGTGTTCAAATTTTCTTTTCTTACAAGGACAACAGTCATATTCATTGGGGCCCACCCTCATTTTAATTTAATTACCTCTTTAAAGACCTTATGTCCAAATACAGTCATGGTCTGGGGGTTAGGACTTCAACATATGAATAGGGGGCATGGATAATTTAGCCCATAATAGTGGCAAAAGGAACTTTGCAGATGTGACTAAATTAAGGATCCTGAGATGAGGAGATTATCCTGGATTATCTAGGTGTGTCCAGTGTAATCGTAGGGGTCCTCATTAGAGGGAGACTAGAGAGTCAGAGAGAGATTGGAAGATACTCTACCACTGGCTTTAAAGACGGAGGAAGTGACCATGTACCAAGGAGTACAGGTGGCCTCTAGAAGCTAGAAAAAATAAGGAAACAATTCTCCCCTAAGGCCCCCCAGAAGGAACAAAATCCTGCTGACACCTTGATATTTTGGACTTCTGATCTACAGAACTGTTAGATAATACATTTGTGTTGTTTTAAGCCATAAGTTTGTGGCATTTTATTATAGCAGCAATATGTAACTAAGACCAGAATTTACATGTGCTGTCCCATTTCATTCTCATGAGAACTCTCTAC